GGGATTTTTATTTCATAGCTTCCTCAGAGCCATTACTGAGTAGTCCTCACTTTTTCCTGACCTAGCATTACTTGGGAAATGTGGAAACACCTCTCAGTATTCCTGAATACTGACAAGCATGTTGCTGGGTTTCCCCCCCTTCCTTAACTGCATAAGAACTGAATACTGCATTTGTGGAGCTTAACTTTCACAGATGGGTATGGGATTTGTGTGTTTACTCATGCTTGCTGTTCTTCAGCAATGACACCACTTTTCTGAATTCTCCACCCCCCCTCCTCAACCCAACCCCCCAGCTGGTTGCTAAATTCAAGGCATTCCTTTCCCTCTCTTTAGATAGCCTATTGCCATGTGTGCTTCTGAGGGACTTGCAAAGACTGCTGCTCCCCGGAGACAGGAGCAAGCCATGTCCTGTGAGCACAGGGATCAGTGCTTTAAGTCCTCTGAACACTGTATGTTTGGCCTGCTTAAAGCCTGCTATATATTTGGCCTTAGAAATATTTAGAGGAGATGTAGATATGATTATACTTCATAATCTTCTGCCTAGATTTGAGTTTGCTTGCCGTAGTACCTTAAGATGGCTAAACACAGTATTGAAGCTTTACACAGTGAATGCCAGTGGAAAGAATTTTTCTGCTGTGGGTAGCTATATAATCTTTCTGGTAATACACAAGTGGAGCTAATTAACTCTGCCAGTGTGCTGCCTGCCCACGTGAAGGGGACCTGGCAGAAAGAGAACCATGAGCTGAAAGGTGCAATGCCTGTGTAGCATTAGGATGCGAGAAAGAAAACGCATGGAAATATTCTGACTAAGCAAACTGTTTGAGCATGTGAAGACTTATATTTGCACCCTCTTAGTCTAATTTTGCTGTAGCTGTGGAGAAGGTCCGAGCTAAGCAGCAAGGAATCTACTTCAAAGTCTGGTGAGTGCCTGAACTGTACACAGGGTACAGGAGAGCCCTTAGGAACAGAGTGAGCAGGGATCAGCTCACAAACTGGTGATCTGATGCAAATTGCTAGTTTACATGGTGCTGTCCATATTTAAGTGTGCTGTGAGGAGATCTATGTGTATTAGAAGTTACATTAAGAAGTTACATTAATGCCCAAGGTACTAATATTTTTACATATTAATAAATTTCTCCTTCCTCAGCTGCCACTGGAGAGAAGGTGAAGAATGCAGGTGAAGTAATCCATGTGATGGTGTACTGCATAAGGATGAACCTCCATGCAGAATTTTCCTTCTGTGTAGGACTGCTTCTGAGCTGGTGTTTTGCCAACGACCAGGCCCAACAAGAATGATAACACCAGCAGGGAGATGAGCCAATATGCAGACTGTATTGTAGACAGAAATGTTGCTATATGAGTGACCGCCGGGGGTACAAACAGGTCAACAAGCTCATACATGATCAACGCCACCCCCAACGATCCCACAAAAAACATGACTCAGCCCACAACAGGTGGTACAAACAGTGAACCGAGGTTGCCCATAGTTGGCATGGGAAACAGCCAGACCAGCCAGTTAAACACATTAGATAAAGGTGCCCACATGGCGACTCTCACCCGATCGACCCGTGTTCACAAAGGCCTAAACAGAGCAGGGCCCAGCTCCAGGGAGAGTCAGGAGGTCTGCCCTGAACCAGGAAGCTCTGTGGAGTGCACTCCACAGACAGACACTCCTGACTCCCTGCAAGCGGTCCCGGCTTTTATCCCCAAGCAGACTCGCGACCTTTGTCAACTCAGTGCGGGACCCCTGGGGCTCATTTCCCTTCTGGCTCTCCCTGCAGGGCCGGCTGCACCCTGGGGGGAAGCTATAAGGCAAACTCACCCCCTCTGTATGAAGGGCTGTGGGAATCACCCATATGTCAGCCTTAATTCGGGGGCTCGGGGTTCAAACCCCAGCATTTCAGCTGGAAAATCTGAATGGTGCAGGTCATCAGGATGAGTCAAGCACTTGCCTGAGGTCCTGAAAAGAGTGAGAGTTTTCCTATGTGTCTAACAGCATATGCCACCTTCACCCACAATCGTGCAAAGTTTGATGGCTTCTTAATTGATAATTGTAATGGCATAGGGCATTTTGCTGGAATTTCAGGCTTGTCTGGTGTTGTGAGAAATGCCCGTGCTGTGCTTGCATCCTTTGAGACTTGGGGATCTGCTGTTGGCCAGTAGTTAGTTGATTTGTACCTGTGAACTGATGCAGCAGGCTTTTGGGACTCCGCAGTTGTAGTATTAGGGGAAAGAGCCTGGCAGATGTTCAGGAGACTCAAGATGCTTTTAGAGCTTCTTGTCTGCTCCTCGAGTGTGCCTCACTTTCTCCTTGGTTGCCAATGGCTGCTCTAGAGTCTAAAAAACACAGATCAGAAGCAAAGGCCATATTTCTATGTTCTCATGCGTTCGTGCAGCTCATTACTGGAGTGCACACAGGCTGCTGTGTCTGCTGGTGAAACAAGTTCAGTCTAGCTAATGGCAATCCAAGAGCACCACTCTCCACGAGCTCCATCGTTGTATGCGTGCATGGAGCACACACCCAACCCAAAGCTGTTGACACGAGGCTATGTTCAGTCCATATGCTGTGTCCAGAGGCTGCACTGAGGCAAATCCCCATCTTCATACCTACTCTACAGTACCACCCTTGTCCTAAGGAGCTCCGTTACTAGTCCATTACCCTGCAGGTACTCTGCTGCTACTTAGCTACTTACTTACTGTCTTCTTACACGGCCAGTGAGTCCCGTTGCAGAGCTACGATTTCAGACCTGCTTTTAATGTTGCTTGTCAGTGGGGTGAAAAAGTATGTAAGATTCTCTGATACAAATGCTAACTGCCCTGCTAGTGTTATTTGAGTACATTTTGTGGTCTGGCTTTGAAAAACCTGCAGAAACTGTTAGCTATACACAATATTGTCAAAGTTCCTGATCCATGGAGTAGTTGGCATAGATAGTCTGCAGCCCCTGGGAAACACTAGACCTGCCTGCTCTGTGTAAGTTTTTAGTTCACTCAGAGAACACTGTGTTTTTTCATTTCAGCTTTTTGTCAGTCTGTGTTTGGGATTTGTTGTGAGTAGTTTCTGTGCTTTCATGAAGGCATGACACGTCACTGGGGTGTTTCCATGGCACGTGTCTGAATGGAGCAGGTGGTGGACTTACTGCTTCACATAGCTTTCCATTCTGAGGGCCAATAGAAAGTCTTCCACAGGAATCCTGCATGGAGTTCTGGGCACTGTCCTGCAAGAAAGATGCGGATTAGTTACAGAGGATCCAGATGAAAGCAAGAACAATGAAAGTCTAGAAAACCTGTCTGAAATAGAAGGGTTTGCAGTTAGGCAGGATTGGGAAGACTAATGAAGGGAACGCTTTTAAACGTTTCCACAGATAATCTAGGTTTATAGGTAGGGAAAACAGGACATGTAAGGGCTCAAATTGCAGAAGGGTTTAGGTTAGGTGTTAGGCAGCCTTTCTAAAGAGGGGGAACACCTGGTGATTCATTGGAACTCCAGTTTCATTATAAATGCCTAGAACATGTATAATGTATCTGCAGAAGCCCAGCTGATTCTCCCTTGGGATGTGGGGATGGAGTGTGTAATTTTTGAGTTCCCATCCAAGACAACTTTCCAGCCAGGAAAAGGGAATACAGCATTGTTAGACATGTTTTGCAGGTCATTGTGGATTTTATAAACTGGAAAATGAGCATTTATTGCAGAGGGAAAACAGATGACTGTCATAATTAAATTTTTTTAAAAAAAAATCGTATACTTTCCAAAGGCTGTGAACAATAACCACTTTCAAACCTTTTTTTTTTTCTTTTTATGCCACACCAGATTTATTAGTAATTTACTTACTTTTTTATAAGTTTCCCTGTTTTTGTCTCTCAGTGTGTTCACCCCAGGTCGTTTTGAAGAACTCTGTTTTCCACAGAGAAACACGAGCCCACTTTGCCACCCCAAAAGGAGTTCCTCTCTTTGTGGCTTCCACACCTGAACTAATCTTTCCCCCTTTGGGGAAACTTCTGTCACACACCTTTTTGTGTTTTCACCACATTCACCCTTTGTTCTCACAGTTGTCTTGCATCCGGCAAGCCTTTGAGAGCTCAGATCCTCATGGGCTTACTGTGCAAGACAAGGAAAGTGAAGAAGCAGCAAGCAATGAAAAAAACCCTCACTTGCATCTTTGCTAATACCTGAAAGCTTCCCTTTGTGTTCTCTTTTTCATTGCTGGTATTTTCAGACTGGAAGTCTTGAACAGGAGAAGTGCCCTGCTCTGTGAGATGAGAACTTGGCTGGGGCAAGAGGAGCTTGTGACCTGAGTGGACATGCTTCAAGTGTGCCAAGCCATTACCCTGAGAGTTGTTTTGAAAAGGAGCTTGGGTGTAGTTGGAGATAGCAATAGGTGGTGTCCTGTGAGTGGTGCTGCAAGGTGCATTACTTGCAGCATTCATTACTGCATGTGTAATGAATGCTGCAAGTAATTAGGCAGCTAAAAAAGAAGCATCACTGATACTTACACTGAAAACAGATACGCTGAGAAGCTGGGTTAACATCTTGCCTGATGGAGACAGGCTGAGTGCATTTCAAGGGGACAGTAGCACTCACCTTGGACAAAGCTTCTGGTGCCCACAAAGCAACGTCTGACAGCAGCCAGATGGGTTAAAAACTAAGTGGCTCGTAGCCAGGTCAGCTGTGTGACAAGCCATGGAAAAAAAGC